AACTTCATGGGGGTCCGTAAATTATATTTTTATACACAGAATTGTAAATTAGATTTTTTGAGAGATCAATACTTAACTGAATCACATTTCGTTTTTTGAAATAGTGTAAAATATGAGAATATATTATTTTAATTTAAATAGTTTCAAATGTAACGTCATTTCCTGTATTGTTTTCCATGTCTCTTAAATATTTTGCTTTGTAAAAACACCATTTGGCCACGTTCATGGAAGTCAAGACTGTTACACAAACTTTTTATTTGCAAAAACAGTAAGAAACTTTGTTATTTTTAACTTCAAAAAAGTTTATTAGAAAATAATATTTTTTAAAAAGCGCACATGGCGGCAATTCTGTGACGATGGAGATGGTAGTTTGTACAGAGGAGAGAAAAGGATGTTTTGCATTAATAAATTGAGAAATAACTGCTGTAAATTTACTAAAATGTATTTTTGAATATTTTGTAATAGTTTTAATAGTTTTATAGAAATAAAATGTGCCATGCACAGTCTGGTTAGTATATAATAACTAAGAGTTCCTGGTGCATCCCATCTTTTCTTTTTTTCCTTTTTTTTTTCTTTTTTCTTTTTATTTTTTTCTATTTTGCATATTAGTTTATGAAGCAGAATACCTAAAGGAGTGCCCGTGATTTTCTTTTAGATGTGTTGCTCTGTGACTTTTCATTTTGGTACTTTAATGAGTAGACGAATGCACCGCATCCTCTTTTAATGGCAAATGTGTTGTACTAACAGTAGAACCTCACTCATCTGCACTAACAACCGGGAGGAGCGTCCCGCAGCGCCTGGGCTGGGATCTGGCGGCTTCGGTGTCCGCCGTAAGGTCCACGCAGGAGTCTCCTTGTTGATTCCCATAGGCCCGAGGTTGCCTTTGCCCTCGGAGCAGCCCGTGCCAGCGGCTGCGTTCACATGGTGATGGCTCGGCATTTTCATTAGCTCTGGTGAAATTCCATTAACAAATTTGGTGAAATGGCATTGAGTGTGCCGAGTTTGTTGCACCGGCGCTGGATTTTGCTGGCTGTCTTGAGTGGAGACGCAGTTTTTGGGGCCTACTAGGAATCAGTGAAGAAAAAAGCGAGTCATCCTCTAAAAAATAAATAAATAAATAAAAAGCACAGTATATTGCCAAAAAAGGGCAACCAAGTTTGCTCACTTATTCCAAGAAATGTTGCTTAGTTGTAACACACCAGAGTGCACCCCAAGATATCGACTAACGCATGTCTTGGAGATGTATTTTGGTGTCCTGGAAGCTCTGGTGGCCTCCTGGCCCCTGTGGAGGATTCTGCTTGCTGGGGCCGGTTGCAGGTGCCCATCAGTGAGGTTCTGCTGTGCTCTGTTCTCTCTCCTCCCTCCTCTGCCCTAAATGGGGTCTTCCCCTTCTTTTTTTTTAAAAAAAAAAAAAAGAAAGAAAGAAAAGTTTGCAAAACATTGTTGCGCACGTGTCTGAGACAGGACCGTGATGGAAGGGAGCTTTCCTTGAATGTCTTCTCACGTTCTCCTCAGCCTCCACCATCTGCCCATGTAGGATGCTTGTCCCGTTGGCTCCATGGTTCTGCCCTGCTGGGAGGCTCTGTGACGCCTGGGCCTCCCACTGGCACGTCTCGCTGTGGGGCTGCGACCCCTGGGCTACCACCGGTTTCCAGCTCCCGGTGTGACCTTCCCTCCTCGAAGCCTGGGAGATGCTGGAGTGGTGAGACTGCAGCCCTGGTCGAGAGGGTGCCCACGTGCAACCCCAACAGATGAAGCAGCTTGTGAAAGGATGGCCTGTGGGGCTGCGTGTGTAGGGTTGTGCATGAAGGAGGTGGCGATTGTATTGGATGTTTCACAGGCATGTAAAAATGTGATCTCCAAACCAATGAGTCTCTGCGTTTTTAAGAGTTTGTCCTTAATGTGGTGATGTCTGGGCAGCTAGGCTCTCTTACTCATGTCTCTGGATAGTAGTTGGTGTTTTATGAGGCCTTTAGTGTCAGAAAATGACAATGTCAAAGCTCATCTCCTTCAGAGCTCATGTGGTGGAAGTCTGTAGAGATGCCCGCAATTCAACTTAAGACCTTATTTTCAGGGGGCCTCAGTCTAACCCGTAACTGAGATGAGAAAGAGCTGCTGGATCAGAGCCCACGCTTTCGAAAGGCAGGATATATCCGCCAGTAGAGACCCCAACCTAGCAGGCATTGCTGCACTTATTCTAACCCAAAGGCCAAGACGAGCTCAGAGCTTTACAGCAGAGGGGAGATCAGATGCTGTCTTCTACTGCCATCGACCTGTTCTGCCAAGTAAGGAAATGCTGTGCTGTGTTCCTCATTGCACGTGTTTCTGATGACTATATGCCTCCCTCTCACCATGTAATACTTGTTCCATCTCTTGCTGATACCTTCAGCGCATCACGGCTGGACCACCCCTCCATCGTAGGCGTTAGAAGTGCTTTGTTATCCGGACCGGTACAACCTATAGCTACAGCTCTCGTATGAAGGATCTACTGTCATAACCTTGTGCAAAGAGCCTAGGCGATGTCACAGTCCATTTTTCAGGGTCCAAGTATGGCAATAGTTTGTATAAAATGTACACATAGTGGTGGCTACAGAATAGTTTATGACTAAATACATATCTATTACTGTTAAAATAATGTATAAGAATGTACTTGAAGCTATTATCCTTGTGCTCTGTTGTCTGAATAATTAAAGAAATTACAGAGACTTCCTGAAATGTCTGTTATGTGGCAGCATTCCTATCACATACTTCCAGCGCTTTAGTGTTTCCCCCTGCCCTTGTGGTATTTAAAGCGGGATTTTGGGAGCTCACACACTGCCCAGCTCTGCGATGTGGTCAGGAGGCACAAGCCGGGCAGGAATTCTGCACGTGCCGCTTTGGGTGCTGGCGGGCGCCTCCTTCTGCTCCCGCTTTCAAAGCAGAGCAGGCCAAGTATTAGTCATGTGTGAAATACTATGTGGATGTGCAAAGAAAAAGTATTTGTCAGTGTTTTCTGGAGAGAAAGGGATGTCCCGAATATTGGGTGTCAGAAGCTCCCCCCAGCCTCCCCCATCAAAGCTGAAGTGAGAAGTGATTCTAATGAGTCTGGCGCTTTTTTTTTAATGCTTATATTTAGCTAATCTGACTGGTTAGCCACACAGTGAGCAAACCGAAACGCTTATATGCAGGTGAAGCAGCTGAGGGGAAGTTGGGCTGTGCCAATGAAAGAGGGTCACACCATAGCGCAACTTAAATCCAGGCCACGCACTAAAATCTCAGGTCCTGATCCCCAGCCAAAAACCTTTCAGGCTATCACAGATAGCAGTTTGCTTAGTTATACCTTTTAATATATGTGTGTATATATATGTGCATATATATATGTATTATAAACATGCATATGTGTGTATGTATATATATATGCATAATATTGCAACCGACATATGAAGAGCTTAGTGTAACTTACTGGGGTGTAAATGTGTTTGCCTTCCCAGATGTTTCACATCACACTGAAGTTGAAGAGGCTGATTTAAATCAGCTGAGTTTGGTGATAATTTGACAGCAATTTTGTAGCTCCAGTATGACATATATTTCAATTACAGGGGGAAGGAAATCAGAGCGAGCGTTTTATTTTACTCATTACTGCAAGCCATAAGGGACCTTTAGATTTAGCAAGCTTTTGAAGCTTCTGAAATTCTCTCTTCAGCAGTTTCTGCCTCATAACCACTGCAAACTTCACCCTCGAAAGCTCAGTTTTCCACATACAGAACATTTTCGAGTTTTCAGTGGAGCAGTGTTAATGTGCTCCTTGGCCTACGCAGGCTGAAATGAAAAAAAAAAAAAAAAAGCTTTTTAAAAAGCAAATCTTTAAAAACAATGGGATTTTCCCAGATTCTGGTGGGAGCAGGATGAGGCCCACAGACATTGTTTATGCTGAAAATGTTAAATACCTTCTTTGATAGCTTGCATTTAGGGTGCACTTAAATAATTTTGGTTTTCTGGACTAACTGATTAAAAAAATTGAACAAATTCAGGAAATCTGAGCTCCATAATCCAATCTTGTTTCCAGTA